TTAAAAGAGAAATAATAGAATAGGATCCGGCGGCCGCAAGGTCTCGTGTAGAGGTGCGTCGTCATTCATTAGTCGGTGAAGAGTATGGAGAGGAGGAGAGGAAGTTTTGGGAAGATAGAGATACAGAATGAGAAGAGAGATCGTCAAATTCTCTGTTTAATATTCTCCATTGAATTGTGGTGAGGTGTGCAAATAAAGGGCGAGGTGGCTTGATATATGAGATGTCAGTCTTCAATTGGATTGGGATACCACGTCACTGTATATACGAGGGATACACTAGAATTTCTCTCCCCGTGCTACTGACCCAATGGTTCCAAGACCTTTTAACTGTTTCCCTCCGGATTGATTTTATAAATAATTTAGTAATTGAAACTCCACTAGCGGTTGATTGGCTGAGCTCCTCAATGAGAGGTGGGAGATCATCTGTTTTAGAGATTGAATTTTCAGTTGTTAATAATTTTTAACCTAATTATTAATTATTATCTTTGTCAAAAATAATAATAATTTAGTAATTTTTGTATTTTTTTTATCTTTTATTTATTATTTTTAAATACTTTTAGATTAATCTACTTCTTTTTACTTTTATTTTAATTTAATCTTATATGTTAACCTTCTAACAATAATTTCACTCCGTTTAGTTAAATTGACAGTGAATTTTTACTTTTTGAAATTAGTTTTGAAATAAACTAATTTTGTAAGGATGATAAGTTTCTTTTCACTTTATGAAAAACTATTATCACATATTACTTCAATTTTTTTTTTACAAGTCTCCTTTGTAGCAAAAACCACAATAATTGACATGTTTTAATAGTTTGCACAATCTATTGTAGATTGCTTTGCTAGCTAAGACTACTTTATTTTAATTTTGATTAACTTTTCTTTTTTTTTTTGGTTAAAATTAATAGAAGTTTTGTACCATAAACTATTCTAAAATATTTTACAAAATTTATAAACTATTTAAAAAAAAAAAAAAAAAAAAAAAACAACATTCTATACTAAAATGAAATTAGACTAATAGTTAATAGATCAATCATTGAATTAAGTTGTTTCACTTCTTGTCACAATGCTTCAGTGGCATTTTTCATGCTTAAAGATTAATAACCCTTTGAACATGAAAAAATCTATCTAGTAGCAAATGACATATGTATATATATATATATATATATATATATATATGTATAGCCGTACTGTTATGGACAATGCCTAGGAAAATTAAAAACTACAGGTTTTAATGACTAAGTTAGTAAGTCTTGTGAGGGATATTGGACTGAAGAGTATATCAATTATTTTCCTTTCATGATACATACCATGTATTTTTACACACACAGATCCCATGTTTCTGTGATACTTAAGCACACACCCTATGCATGTGTTTCGCGAAGAGAATAAAAGTTACATTTCATAACAAAGAAGTAGGAGGATGAAAAGAAAGTTCCCAAAAATTAGCTACTTGAAGCAAAGAATGAGAATATGTAACCACTTTGAATCATATATAGGGCTATTTTTTTTTTTTTTTTTGAACTAATATATAGGACAACTTTTGGAATAAAAAAATGATTGGTATACACCCAATTTAACATTTTTTTTTATATTTGTTTTAGTTTAGTGATTAAAATATAATATAAATACGTCAATTTAATTGATTCTTGCATTATATATATATGATTATATCTTTAAATTTATCTTTTTTAATTTCTTACCAAAAAATAATAACTTTTTATAAGTTTGTCTGCATTTAATTTCATATCAAAAAATAATAATTTTAATAAATATGTTATATAGTGTATTAAATCAGAGTGTCGGTCAATTACTATCCTTTGAAATATTATTATTATTAAAAAATAAAAAATCAAGATATTCTTGTATTAAAAATATCAGTAACATGATCAATGGATGAGATATAACTGGAACCCACATTATATCTCACATATTTTATAATTGTAATTGGGTACCATGACATCCTAATTTTTCATTTTCTCTATTATTATTATTTTTTATCATTCGAGATTAATTGGAATTTCTATTAGCTTGTAATGCACACACAAACTGAAAGAATATTGATTGAT